TGACTCAGTTGAAATTGTGGCTGTTGCATAGAACTGGTCAAAACTGATGTTTAACCCCTATGGAAACGTTTGCTTTTTCAGTTAAAAAAAAGAAAAAAGAAAAAAAAAAGATGGTGGCTGAAAAATTAAACTTCAGAAATGCCAGAGTAAAGCCTCATGGAAACTGTAGGGGTCAGATACCTCATGCCCACTCTCCTCTAGGGTCAAGCTCCCTGACTGGACTGTATTTCCCATTTTGCCCTGTAGTCTCCCCCCTTGTTTAGTGTATCATGGGAGCTCCACAGCCATAAGTAAAATCTGGCTGTGCAACCCAGTCCATGAGGCAGAATGGGGACATAAAGCACAAGAGCCACAACTCTCAAGAAACACCAGGGCAGCATTTTTACATTGCAAGAGGACCTGAAGAATGCACTGAATTTGAAAGCCTCTCTCACTCTATCCCAAACATGCAATTGGTCCAATAAAAGATGTAATTCACAAAAATCCTTGCCGGTTGCATATTTCCTGGACCGTCATGGCTACAGCAATACTCCAACATTACCATTTCTAAATTGAAATTAGGTGTTATTTTAAGTCATAGTGTTCACCTGTTAGTTTTTCTCAATAAAAAATTGACATAATTTGTGTAAAAACAGAAGATTTTGGCTAAAAAAGTCATTCAGCCAAAACCCAACTGTCCATAGAAAAGGAGGCCAGTGAGAGTTTTAGAGCCCGAAAAGACTATCATGGAATAATCGTCGCAGCAAACTGGCTTTCTGAAACACACACAAGAGATCAGAGCTACACTGACCTTTCCTTTGTTCAGTGCAGTCAAGTTGTTGGCACCATAAAGCAGGAGCAGATCTACATGTGGGATTATTTAGGTTTCCGTTCAACAGTACGGGTACACACTCTAGCCGCTTTAATGTGATGCCAAAGGCAGTAATCACTGATAGCATTAAGAGTTGGAACTGATAACAGACAAGTTTGCGTACTACCCTCATGAAAATCACTGAGTTGTCAAAAGACATAAACTGGCTGCATTCAGAAAGTTCATCTTTTGCATAGACTCTAGTTTGGAAGAAGCATACATTAATTCCTGACTCAGTTCATTATTCAGTTGGGTCTTCTTAATCTTTGTGGTCGTCATCTCAGCTTGACCAGAGTATACTCCCTCTCTCACTGCATGCCACACAGTGTACATCCTCCATACTATGACCAATACATTCTGGAGTGGGCAGTTACACCAAGGTCAGAAAATGGGAGCAAAGGTACAAACCATTTAATAGGTATCACTGAAAAGATGGGGACCACAGAAGAAGCGTTCATGTCACAGCCCCGTCAGATTCCAACAAACCTGCGAATCCTGCTAAACACCTTGTCATTAACAATCTTGGCTGTATATAATGCAAACCTCTAACCCACAACAGGTTGATCTCACTGTAACCATGCTGTGTCACAACCATGGGCCTTTTTCAGGGCAAGCACTGACAGTCTTCTGTGTAAACAGTAGGGGACTCACAGGAGTCAAATGGGACTTTCTCCTTTCCCAGGAGGAGACTGTGGACCTCATGGCAACGTGCAGTGAGATCTTCAGTCAGTGTGTGCAGAGGTGCTCCAATGCCCACACTTATGAGGGCCTGTCAGGCTGCATGCAGGAGGGAGGCCAGGTGTCCGTGCCCCAGCTTCTACTCTGGGTCCCCCACCAACCAGCCTCCCTCACCTGAGCTCAGCCCCGCTTTCTGCCCCAACTCCATATGGCCTCGAAGTAGAAGCTGCCTGCAGTGGGGCCACCACTGTGCATAGGTCTTGCTGACTTGGCCCACTGGCTGCAGGAGGGGTACAGCAGCACCCACCATCACCCCAGGTGAGCCCCCAACCCACTAGGCTCGTCGCAGCACGTGCCCCAGCAAAGGAGTGCTGGGCACCTGTCCCCAGGCTCTGCCTCCCACCCTGGGAGGGTGCACACACCATGTACTATACATCAGTGCTTCTCAAACTATCTGATGTGGCAGACTGGCAATTTTTTTTCCAGGGGGCCAGGGACCGGTGCCTGGTTCAGCCGGTGGCAGCAACTGCACGTAACAGCACTACACAAATGCACGACCAGCTGCTTCTTTCTCTTTCCTCACCTCACACGACGTGACGTCACCTGGAGTATTGGAATGTACGAACTGTGGCATTATGACATATCAATGTTATGCTTCTGAAAATATATTTCTTTCTTTCCTGGCAACTCATTACGGACCGGCGAAAATATTTCTTTCTGTCCTGGCAACTCGCTGCAGACTGGCGACCAGTGGCTCGCTGACCGGCACCGGTCTGTGGACCACCACTTTGAGAAGAACAGCTGTACATAGTCTATGGGGAGGGGGGGAGCGGGGTTTGATACAGGGGAGGGAGGGGGAAGGGCTCTGTGGTTCAGGAGGGAGGGGGAGATAGGCTCTGTTGTGCAGAGGGAGGGGAGGGGTCTGTTTGTGGAAGGGAATAAAGTGTTTTTCTGAGAACTGTCCACAGTGAGCATGGTGCTGGGGGTGCACGGTGGGGCTGGGGTCTGCGGGTGGTCATCCAGGCAGGCTACAGCAGGGAGTGCAGGAACAGGTAGTCAGCCAGCACCTCTTGGACCTGGTGCCCTGGCCCCTGCTGGCGGGTGAGCAGCTTGCCCAGTGCTTCAGAAAAGAGGCCCCATCATTGTCGCCGCAGCTGGTGCTCCCAGTACCAGGTGTCCTCCACCTGCTGTCCTGGCTAGTCAGGCGGGCCCACAGGCCCAAGACCACATGGACAGCACCAGTTGTGGAGTTCAGGTGCATGTTGTCGGCGTCCCTGCTGACAGACCTCAGCCAGGGGGTGGTTGCCACAGCAGGCCAGCACATTGAGCAGGGTGGCCAGCAGGAGCCCAGGGTGCTGGACATCACTCCCAGGGTTTCGGGGTGGAGCAGCCATGGCACAGTGGGCAGAGGCTCCAGCAACAGAACCACAGTGTGCAGGGCTAGAGAGGGTGGGAGCGGACTGCTGCCACAAGCAACAAATCTGCTCCCAAATGTGCACATGTATAGATAGCTGCCCAGGGTGTGTTTACTTCAGAGTGAATTACTCTGGAGTAAACCCACCCAGGAACATTTGCACACATAGATGCGCCCAAGAGATCCTTGTTTCAAAAACAAATGTGCATCCAAAGGTTGTTACAAAAATGATAGTTACCATCCTATTGCTAATCTTTTATAAGGTCTCAATTCAACAAGGTACTTGAGCATGCGTCTAGCTTTAAGCATGTGAACAATCTCTTTGAAGTTAATGCTCTCACACTTAAAATTAGATTCATCAGCATGGCCTTGCTGGATAAGATCACAGAAATGCTGGAGATGGGCCAACTCTAGCAGCTTCCTGCCATCTACCATGTCTTTAGACCTCTTAATCATTAGCTTCAGACCTGGAAATGGTAACAGTTATTCTGACAGATACCCTTCTTAGGGCTACAAACCACAGTTGGGGACTGGACCCGATGATCTCACAAGTTCCCTTTGAGCCCTAAACTTCTGTGAATCTGTGTATTCGTCATACAGACAGTGTTTAATGGTCTGTAAGGAGGAAGGGACACTGATCATTTTCTTTTCTCCTATCTCTGATGAAGAATGTATTAAAAGGCACCCCGTGTGTGTGCATAATATGTACATACTATATGTAGTTGAATCCAAGTTGAGGATGTGTCTCCCCTTCTCCCCCAGTCAGCAGGGGGGAAAAAGCCACATCCTGGATTCAAGTACAGCCCAAGGCAGGCAGCAGCTAATTTCCAGCTTTGGTCCTGGGCTGGGAGCTGAAGCTGAGCCACTGCCTGCCCTGGGCTGGAATAGCTTGTTTGACAGGGGAGGGATAGGGCAGTTGAAGAGAGTGTAGGGGAGACCACGGGGTGGAAGGAGGTGCACCTGCAGATTTCCCCCCCATGCTTTGTCCCCTTGTGCCTGCCCCCTATCCCTTATTCTCCTCCTCCCTTACCTTCTGCTCCAACTTCAGCTCTGGTCCCTCCAGTCCCAATCCAGCCCAGCCAAAAGCTGTTGCCACTTCTCCCTGGCTGGGCTGGGTTGAGACCAGCGCAAGACCACAGTGCTGCTGACTGATCCAGAGGATCAGAGCTGCAGCAAAAGGTAAGTAGGGTGGGGGCAGAGAGTGTGAAGAGGGCAGGCATGGGGGAAGCTGGGGTGGGGGAGAGGGCATAGGCATGGAGGGCAAGGGGCAGGAAGCAGTCACAGAAATGGAATGGCAGGCAGCAGGGGGGCATGTGGCAGGGGGCACATGCTGGGGGGCAGGCACAAGGGACAGGGGTTCCTTCCCCCTCACCATTGCTTTCCTTGCCACAGCAGTGGGGGGGAATTAAGACACCCCCCAAATAATTAGATTCTATGTATGGAAAAAATATCACAAATATATCCTTTTCTTTGTACAGAATCTAATCACTAGGGGGAGTTACCTTAAATTTGAACTCATCTTGGATTTGGGTGAATATGGTGTATACATGATATATGGAACCACTCCATATAATGGTACATTAAAACTAAAGGAATCACCATCATCAACTGCATCTGCAAGTGCGTATACATATAGATATTAATATTGATATAGATAAACCTAGTTGAATATATTCAGGATAAATGAAATATCTTTGGTCTATGTTTAGTGGTGGCCTTTGCTAGTTGTATTAGATAACTAAATACAATTTTGCAATTAAATAACTTCAGTATTGATGTTTCTTGTAATGTGGATATGGAAGTACAAGAGACTAATCTTGTGGAAATTTAATCTAATTACAGTAGGTACAACTATGAAGTTTTTAAAAGCTAATTTTGTAATTATAGGTACACGCACAGTTTCCACAAGCTTAGGCAGTTATGACAGATCTAGAAAACTGAGTAATTATAAATATCTCACTAAAGCTTATTGAAAATTCTGTCACTACCACAGTCAGTTATTTTTAATGATTAGAAAAACTGGCCCTGAAAAAGTGGATGAGAAAATTTTACACTTACCTGAACATGATCTGTCCAGTTCTCCTGAGTCATGCTTTTCTGAAAAGACAAAAATAAATCTAGGAGATTTGTTTCACACCAAGCTGAAATTTAACACACAAACCTAAAACTTGGCATCATCTGTGATTTAGGAATGCAATCTGGTATGCACTGAAAATCACTGGGTCTCAAATATCACCATGCAGAGTGCATTAGAGAAAAGCATAGCTTAGATTAATTAATTCAGACAAATGTTGAACTATAGCACACAAGACAAAACCTTAACCTACATTTGCAGTATGAATGCTACACAAAATCTTATCCAGAGGACACTAAAGCTCCCCAGAGATTTTATGAAATAAAGAAAATCCAGCAAGACTCAGATTAGAGTGGGTACAAAGCTACAAGCTTTTGTGAAGTCAAATAGTGTAAAACTAGAGGAGGCACTCTGCTTCACAGCATTCCTTCTTTTCATATTGTGCTTAGCACTCACAGTATATAAGAATCACACAAGATGACTTCATGCCTCTTCAGGCAATTGAATAATGCAAAAAAATTGATATCAGTACTATAGAATCATAGAAAATTAGGGTTGGAAGGGATCTCAGGAGGTCCAACCCCCTGCTCAAAGCAGGACCATCCCCAACTAGATCATCCTAGCCAGGCTGTATCTAGGTGGATATTAAAAACCTCTTAAAAACCTACTGTGGAGAGACAGCTTTGAAAAACATGGCTTATAAAGGGGAAGTTGTGTTTAAAGTAATGGGGAAAATTAAAAATACTGAAAGGGTCAGTATTTTAAAGTATTCAGTCAACTACCTGACTGAATAGGTAGTTAACCTTGTTGTAGTATCTATACTGGCTGAAGCAAATGGCAGATCAGCTTGGCTTTCTACAGAACCCACACCTATGAATGGAAGAATGCCTCCTGCAGGGCACCTCCAACTATCAATGAAGTTTGTACGAGCTGAGGGCATGCAACACTGTACGAGGATGCCAGTCCCATATAAGGCCCTTTAAGTTCCTATAATTAGCATAACTGCATAATAAAACATACAACCAATGATCAGTTTATAACAACTCCATCTCAGTGCTCACAGCAGCAATTTTTGAGCAGAAACAATCCCTTTCAGTATTACTATATGTTTGTCTATCCATATATTTCTAGCACTGCTACTACATTGTTCAAATGCAAAATAAATAAGCAAACATGCACCAGCCATAAAGCATACCTCAACAAACCTCTTGTAGAAGAGATATTTCAGGGATCCTAGGTGTTGCTGATTGATGACATTAGGACAAAGAGCTGAAACAGGGAGAAAAGGCCTTAAAGTCCACACTACATCTGCATGTCCTCCTAGACAATGAGTAATTTTTCCAACTATTCAGTTGGTCTAATAAAAAATATCACATTTACCCAAATAACCTTGTCTGCTTATTACCTAGACAGTACTTTTCCCCTCCTCTTATATGAAAATCAACGTCAAGCTCATGATGTACCCTAGGAAAGATGCCGGCCATGCTTGGAACTTTAGGACCAGGAACGTTCTGAGCTTACTTATGCTGTAAAATTGCTATTTGCATTTTAAAACTTAAGTATCAAGATTAAACCATAGCTCCAGGGATCCAAGGCTATATTGCTCCTGAATGAGTACATCCTCATGGTGTTTGCCTTATCTTTCTTGAATATCTGCATGCAGACAAAACCTTAAATTACTAAGGGCCCAAGTAACTTCGGAAAATGGGATATAGGCTCCTAAGCCACATAAGCGATTTTGAATATTTTACACAGAATTTAAACTCAGAGCAACAGTTTGGCCATAGTTTAGTCACTGAAATATTTAATTGTTAAAGGATACTCTATTAGGCAAGGGTGACAATGTTTTTGCTGAGTTAGCAGAAGAGGACAGACAACCATCAGATGGTAGACAAAGCAATAATGAGGAATGACAGAAGAAACCAAAAAATTGCATGTACATTGGGCAATTATGTGAAAGCACAGAATGGCAGTGTCACAAAAGTGGATTATTAATGTGCTGGACAAAATGAAAGAATACTCATTGTTACTGGAATTTATAGGAAGCATCATAGAAAAGTACATGCAGTAGCAGGGAAAATGAAGGTAAAATGTTTTAAAATGTAAAACAAGGCAACAAACAGTATGCTGTGAGATCTTCTAGGGTCATGTTTGCTCTTAGTCATATTGCTGCTGATATCTCTATTTCAGTTGCCTGCCATGCTGAGATACACTAGCAAATGCTATTTCATTATTACAGCAGGGAGTCCTATTTCATGTCCGTTTTATGTGGACCACCTGAAACTACCGTGCATGATTGGAATGGTTCCTTTACACTCTTCTTACAACTTTCAGGGGGAGAGGTTTATGGAGGGTGTAAAAGAACCAGTTCCTTATCTTTCCCCTACCTCCGAGAGTGAATTTTGCATATCAGAAAAAAGCAAATGACTGGGCTGGAGGCCTTTCTCCATGAACTGCAAAAATCTCTTCACCGGCCCTGTTTGGGGTTGCAAACAGCGCCCCAAACTTGGGCTTCTCACACATTTGTGAAGATGAAACTCTACTTAGTTAACATCTAGAAACTTAATCATAACCTATGAAAAGACTGAAGGCAGGCAAGAACTGCACCTTACAGACTAACTAAATCAGAGATACATAAACTTTTGTAAGCAACAGCTTATTTTATCAGACACTAATGAACAGGCTGTCTTTGACCTGAGCTTCAGAAAGGATGCAGGTTTGCAAAGAAAAGAGGGGAAAGTGGCAAGGATACCGGATGTCCAGAACCATTTCTCCTTCCCTAGCCTCAAGAAACTGAGTGGTATTTGGACTACACCATCTTTTATAGTCTCATGAGGGCAGTTTGAGGGCAAAAGCCAGCGGGTCACTGTTGGGTAGAAGTTAACGAACTTGTGTCAAGAGACTCACATCCCTTCAATGAATATGAGTTCATTGTGGCTATGCTCATAGATAATGCTGTATGTAAGGCACTGCAACTTGACAGTAGGGTTGAAAAGTACTGCAAGAAAACTACTAGGAAAGCACTGGGAAGATTTCCAACCTGAGAAGAGGAAAGGAAAAGGGTATCCTTTAACACTGCCTTGATGTACTTGAATGCTATTTGTGGACCCCCAAATTAAAATCACTTTGTCTCTCTCGTCCTTATGAAGATTTGACATTTTCTGCACAGTGCAAACTTATACTCATTGATCTCTCTCCAACATAACATCTTTTAAAGATCCTTAATCCTAAAACCCTGTGGGATACTACCGAAGTTTCCTGGGGGCTGTCACCCCTGAGATGCGCTGAACTCACACATTCCACGGTCGGAAGCTAGTAGTGAGTTACCTGAGCAAGCGCACAGATTTCTAAGCAGCTCGCTTCTGCCCTCTACTGTTTGAATACCTGAGAAATAATCATACAAAAAACTAGAACTCTTGGTTCCAAAATGATACCTTTTATTAGACCAACTGGAAAATGGCAAGAAAACTGTCCTTTTCTGGAAGCTTTCCTCCTAGACAAAGAGTAATTTTTCCAACTATTCGTTTGGTCTAATAAAAAATATCACATTTACCCAAATAACCTTGTCTAATTATTACCTATGCAGCACTTTTTCCCTCCTCTTATATGAAAATAATGAGAAATAATAATTTTTTACATTGCACAGTCAGCTCTGAGTTTAAAGGTTGGTAAAAAATGTAATATAGGAATACAGGAAAGTGGGTGGCAAAACATGAGAAAAAAAGCTCTATTATTTCAACTGAAGCACTATTTGACAAGTTAAGGTAAAGGATCATATTTACAGCATTCAATAGAGAAGTATTTTAGTTAATTTATCATGCAGCTCTGAGGCAGCATCTATACAGCTCTTTCAGCTGGCAGTACAAGCAATTTCCATCACTTCAGCTCTTTAGCTGTAATGGACATGGACATTCATTTTCATTGACCCTAGTGAGGGACTCTTTATGTCATAATGTGCCACTCAGAGCCAACTTATAAAATGAACTTTACTTTTTGAGTGCATCTAAGCTTTCACCTAGTTGTTGGGTGTGGGGTTTTTTGCGTCCAAATTATGTCTTTTGTCACTGAACTCCTCCTGATACCTGGTTAATTTGGGGAGAGATAGTGGGATGTAGCTTTATAACTACATCAACCATATACCCTCCTCCTCCACCCCCACACACCCCATTGCATAGACATGTTCCCTGTACATTCTGTTAATTCAGTCTCTAAGGTAAGACATATTTATCCCATAATAATAAAGAGACTCCTCATACCAAAACACACTGACCCACCACTTAATGTGGGATGATGAATTTATGAAAATGAATAGCTTCCCCATATTATTTCACAACCAGATGCCACTTCTGCCCATCTTCTTCCTCCAACTCCAATAAAACTAATTAAATTGAATTTGTATTCACTTAACTGGGGCATTATAGGAACTCAGCACAAAATCACCAGTTCTTCGTGCTCTGTAATGTGGTCAAGCAGCAAA